CCCCATGCCTCAGCTCTGTGCTCAGCTTGCAAATTTTGTGCTCGCTCCTCTGTACGCCACATACAGGTGAAACCATGCATTTCTCTTTTCCTTCTGACTTCCTTCACTTAGCATAATCCCAGCTCCGTCCACATTGCTATAAACGGCATGAGTTTATCCTTTTGGATTGCTGAGATTATCTCCATCTTAAAATGAAAAGTTGACACTGAAACAGACTAAATAATTTAAGACCATTCAAGCGATGGAAAGATTAGGCCCGAACCACACCACAATGTCTTCTCCCCTGCGGGAGGGAAAGGTACCAGCCCTCACCTCACAAGCTGTGGCTGGTGGCCACAAAGCCTGTGGGTCAGTGTGGCCAGGAGCACAGACTTGGAGCTGGACAGGATTAACAAAAGCACCCACACTGCCTTCACCGGAGGGCCACGACGGGGCCAGCAGGAGCCTGGACACTTACCATGGATTGTCCCTTTGAATCACATGGCAGCCATCCTCTTGCTAATCCCTGTCTTCTGAAGGGGAAATGAGGGCTTCGAGGGTTAAGAAACTTGCCTGAAATGGCCCTCCCCGGTGGCGCAGCGGGTTAAAGCACTGCACTAAGAAGCTAAAGCCACTTCCGCATGAGTTCGATTCCCGCCTGCCCCGGAGGCGACCACATGGCGTGGCAGACCTCTCCTGACCACCTGCTGCTCCCCTCAGCAGTGTACTTCATCCGTCACCCTGTTCTGCTCCCCACTCTGTCTCTGGTGAATTCTCTCACTGCCTCTGCACCTCTGGACTGTACCCCAGTTCTGTATGCACAAGTAAATAAATTTTAAATAAATAAAAAAAAGCTCAAAATGTACTATGGACTTAAATCTAAAATGTAAAACGATAAAGCTTCTAGGAGAAAATCTTTAGGACACAGAACTAGATTCTTAAACTTGTCATAGAAAAAAAAATGATAGATCAGATCTGTCAAAACAAAAGGATGAAAAAACAAATTACCTACAGAAAGAAAATACTTTTCCATTAGATATTCGGCAAACTCCTAGAATATATAAAGAACTCTCGAACCTCAACATTAAAAAAAAAATCTAATTAAAAATAGGTAAAGATATGCACAGACATTTCACCAGAGATCATATGAGGGCGGAAGCAAAGACCCACGAGTGCTCAACGCCTTGAGCCATTACAGAAATTAAAATTAAAAACACTACATCTAACTACACATCTGGCAGAATGGCTAAAATGAAATAAGTAGAGTGGTAATATTGGCAGAGATGCAAAGACGCTGGCTCATTTCTATATTGGTTGTAAAAATGAAAATGGTCCAATCACTCTGGAGAATACTTTGGCTGTTCTTTCAAAACTAGAAATGAACTTGCCGTGTGACCCAGCAATTGATTCGTGGACAGAAATCCCAGAGAAAGGAAGACTTGTTTCAGATAGAAACATACACATAAATGTCGTAGTCATTTCATGCATACGAGCAAAGTCAGGATCCTCCCTGGTGGCGCAGCGGGTTAAAGCACAGCACTAAGAAGCTAAAGCCACTTCCGCATGAGTTCAATCCCCGCCTGCCCCGGAGGAGACCACATGGCGTGGCAGACCTCTCCTGACCCGCCCGCTGCTCCCCTCAGCAGTGTACTTCATCAGTCGGCCTGTTCTGCTCCCCAATCTGTCTCTGGTGACCCTCTCAACGCCCCTGCACCTCGGGCCTGTACCCCAGTTCTGTATGCATCAATAAATAAATCTTAAAAAAAAAAAAAGAGCAAAGTCAAACTGAAAACTACCCATACATAACTCCTTCAAAGCTAAAAACTTAAATAAGCAGTGATAAAGACATACCACAGCTTGTATTCAGCAACAGCAAGGCACGAACTCTATTAGTGCATGCAACAGCTTGAATGAGCCTTAAGGAAATTGTGCCAAATGGAAAAAAAAAATGCTCCAAAAGGAAATGCATGACTTCATTTAAATAATAATCATAAAATAGCAAAATGGAGATGAAGAATAGATTTGCTTTAGGAATTTGGGACAACAGGAATGGGCGTTAAGAGGGAGGTGGGGCTACCTGGGAATAACTCCAAAGAGTCTCGGAGTGTTGACACAGTGGAGTGTCTCAATTATGGTACTGGTTATATAAGGCACACAGCGGGTAACACTGTGTGCACGCACACACACAACACACTTCTTCCTCCTGCAGAACTTCTTGAAAGAAGTAGCCTAGTCTGAGTTTTCTCCCTGAACTACAGTACAGAATCTGAAGTGTGTCCTCGCCTCTGCTCCCTAGTTATATTGGCTATATTGCTGCAGGGGACACAATGGCCTCTGATCTCAGCAAAGAATGACCTGACAAGGTCCTGTTCACCAGCCCTCTCCAACACCAGGTGCATTCATTCCCACCTGAGCTCAGGCTTAAGGACCAAAGCTTTACAAAGGGAGGCACTTTTGCAGGAATGACCCAACTCTTGGGCCCTCCCTGGTGGTGCAACGGGTTAAAGCACAGCACTCCTGGCTCTCCACAGCCACAGCAGCAGCGTTCAGTCCTGGCCAGGGAGTGACCCACATGGCACAGCAGACCTCCCCTGTCTCCCTGCTGCTCCCCTCAGCAGTGGATTTCAGTGCATCTGCCTGTTCTGCTCCCCACTCTGTCTCTGGTGAATCCTTCCCCCGCCCCGGCACCTCTGGTCTGTACCCCAGTTCTTGTATGCATAAATAAGTAAATCTGAAAAAAACAAACAAACAAACAAAAAAAACTGCCCAACTCTTAAAAACTCAGGCTCTGTCTCTCCAGCCCTCTGTTGTCCTTTGGGCCCCCAGAAGGCCCACTGTTCCCAAGCAGATGCTCTGCTAGGGGTCACAGTTTGGTGGGCAGTGGGGGTGCTCTCCCCTCCCGGTAGGAGGGGAGCTCAGGAGGAGGGATGCTGCCTCACTGGGACTCCTGGCCAAAGCACGAACAAGTGACGGTGGGCGTCTCTGGTCCTTTTGCTTCTGTTAACATGGGGCAGGACTTAGACACTGGATTCAGGCAAATACCACCTTCCCATCTCAACCCAAGTGTTACAGCAGGAGCCATCACAGGGACTTGCTTGTTTTCTCAAATCTATGTGGGAAAGAACGCCCACGTTCAGGCGTCTTCCTGGCCTTACAGAGGACCCCATCATCACGTGTGTCTGTGATCCCCAGTCAGCTGACCACAGTGCGAGATGCTGAATCTGCAGGCGCCCACTCGGAACGGGCAGAGCGAGTGTTTGGAGCTCAGAATTTAGGGCGGTGGGAAAATGCCTGCCTGCATTCACGGCAACACCACTGCCAAAGTCAAGGCATTGCATGCTACAATGAACCCCACCCCCTGGATTAGGGGGATGATCTTGCCGACTTACGTGGAACTGGTCTGAGGCTGCTCAAACGCTTCTTTTGGAATTTTAAGGCCAGGGTTTCTCTTCTTGCCTGTGGAGGAGACAGCAGAACAAAGGTAAGGGCCTAATACACTCAGGAGAGCAGGGGCAGGGGTGACCACAGATGGTAAGGGGCTGGCAGGCATGCACAGCCCTTCTCTCCCCATCCAGAGCTCCACTTCCTGCCTGGAATTCTGCAAGAGTAAGTACCAAGCACGAAGCTTCCCAGGTGCAGGCTGTGTCCCAGGTGAAGCTTCTAACCAGGTGAGACTGCAAACGTCCCTCTCAGATTTCCAGCAGCCTGGGAGACAGCCCTTCCTCTCTGCTCAGGGTTCTTTGTTCTCCCTGGTGCATTGGGAGGCTGGGATGGATGGTGCTGGTGGTGGTTTATTTTTTCTTTTTAATGTCAACTGAAATGTAGTCACCCCCTCTCAGTATGCCACAATGTTTAAACTAATCTGTGAACAACCAATATAGTTAACCGTGCAGAGAAGAAGCAAGGTACTTTCCCTCTGTTCTTCCTTGTCCGTTCTCAACCACCTGCCAGCAGATGAACCACCCAGGAGAGGGACAGAGTGATAGTGGCTTGTCTTGCCCTGTTTGAAGGACTGAAGTAACAGACAGGTGGGTACAAGGAGGTTTGTCTTCTTTGGGAGGAGAGGGACCTATAACTGGCAGGGCCACCCCGACACATGGCGAGAGCGTGACTCAGACAGTATGGTGGATACGTGGGGAAGAACAGACTGAGAAAGCCCAGCTAAGCAGCCACCAGAGTAAACAGTCTTGGAAGGGCTCAAGATTTAGCTCATCAAAAGGGCACTCTTATCTCTTCATGCTGGGCAGAGGAAACCAAGGTAGAGCTGGGTAGAAGGCCCCAAGTCCCTTCTTTCAGAACTCTTCTCTGCATTAAAGGAAAACCCCACAATGCTGCCACAGGCACTGGGCAGGACTCTGGAGAGAGCAGCTGAAGCTGCAAAGCAATATAAGAAATCGGGTATTACAAATGGCATGAGTTTATCTTTTTGATTGCTGAGTAGTATTCCATTGTGTATATATGCCGCATCTTCTTGATCTAGTCATCTAGTTTTGGGCATTTGGGTTTCCAGAATTTACCTATTGTAAGGAGTGCTGAATGAATTGGTAAAATAAGTCAGAAGGAAAAAGAAAAATATTGAATGGTTTCACTCACAGGAGGAATTCAAGAGAACCAAAATAAGACATGGGTGGGGTGGGGGAAGGGAGTGTATTGTTATTACAGTACAAAAGCAAACAGAGAGAGATCCTATGGGGGGGTGGAGAGGGACCAGAAGGAGGGAGGAGTGTGGGGGGCTGTGGTGATGACAGGTGGGGGAGGGGGAAGTAAACATTGCTGTAAATCGACAATAATATAAATAGATGGCGCAGCGCTCCGACACCCAGCTCAGATGGGTGAGGTTGAGAGGTGACCAGAGAGGACGGCGTGGGCAAGTAAGGGATATTGAGTTGTTTAAAAACCAGCTTCAACCTGACTTCTCTTCTTCACTCACCAAGAGACTCCCAGAGTCACCTTTCCTCTCTCACCCAACAGCCCAGTCATGGGCCCTGCCTAGCTGCTGGTCATGATTCTTCAGCGAAACCATCTATATGGTCTCGTTAAAAAAAAAAAAAAAAAAGGCCACTGATGATCTCCAGGCACAGATGGCCATGCCCAGAACTGGCGATGTTATTGCAACCCAACAGTATGTAACTGAGACTTCTCCCTCCAAGTCTTAAAAATCAAAAATCGGGTCTCCCTGGTGGCACAAGCGCAGCATTATGAATCTATCTGCAGACACTTCAGATGAGATCAATCCCTGGCCAGGGAGGTGACCCACATGGTGCAGCAGACCTCCTCTGTCTCACCTGCTCACTGCTTCCTTTCAGTGGTGTATTTCTGTCAACTTGCCTATTCTTCTGTTCCCCATTCTGTCTCACCCACCCTCTCCCCACACCTCTAGCCTGTATCCCAGTACTTGTATGTATAAATACATCACTTTAAAAAAAAATCCAAAATCTGGAACAATTCTGCCACATTGTATAAAGCCAGGAAAAAAAGTACCTTTGGGAGGAACCCACGTGAAGTCTTTAGGACCATATTCATCATATCAGCTATTCTCTGTTTTATGTGCATCTGAGTTTTCTACTCATTTTGTAAGATTCAAAAGTCATCATTTCCTTTACCACTCCTAGAGCTCAGAGGGTCACTTAGCACATGTTACTAAGTGAGTCAGTTCTCAGCCAATACAAATACCTGGGCCTCCCTTGTGGCCTAAGGGTTAAGTCCCAGCGCTATCACAACTCCTGAGTTCGATCCCCAGCCAGGAAGTGACCCACAGGGTGCAGCAGACCTCAGACCTCCCCTGTCTCACCCGTTGCTCCTCTCAGCAGTGTACTTCAGTAAATCCAGCTGTTCTGCTCCCCACTATGTCTCTAGTGAATCCTCTTCCCCCCCCAACACACACATCTGTGGCTAACACCCCAGTTCTATGCACCCAAAGAAAAAATACAAAGAGCTATAGTAGGTGCCAGAAGCAACACTAAGTGTTGGATCTGTTTTTCCTGAGACTCCAAAGAGATGCCCAGCCTAATTCCAAGCAGTTCCCACATGTGGCTCTCACACAAATAGCTTCACCTGGTATTTTAAGTGAACTACTCGTCTAAAGAAAGACGACTTCATACAGACTCCAATACAGGTGGCAGGTAACACAGGTAATCCCAGCAGACACAACGCCATAGCTCTCTTAGCTAAAGCAAAATAAACACATGTAAAATATATTTTTCTGAGGAAAAAAGTCCCCCAGGGACCACTCCAGCAAATCAAAAGCAAAATGTTACTCGGCAATTCCTATCTTTCATAATCATTTCTCGTTCAGCTCTTATGAGACAGAAGTAATGATAAACAGCTATTTACTGAGAAATTTTTTTATTACACCAAGCAATCAACCATTAGCTATTCATGAATAACAATTACTAGTAGGCTATAATTTAATAAATAATCAGAATGCTACACAAGGAAACAGAGAAAGAGACAACTGGGCATAGAAATTAGAAGAAGAAATGACTGAAACAACAGTGTTGTTGAAAAGAAAAGAGCCTGACTCTCTTCTGACAACCGCAAGAAAATAGTTCCAAGGGGCAAAACCTAATTATAATCTACAGAAAATATAATTCGGAAAAATCACACACACACACACACACACACACACACAGACACGTGTGCTCCCTCATTCACTTACTTGCCGCCTCTGACAGAGCTTCAGGGCAGACAGACCTGGAGGAGGTCTACAAATGTCCAGCGAAGCCAGGAGAACAAAACATTCTCGCCTGAGCGCCGAAGCCCACACTTCAGCAAAGACACTGACAGGGACAGACTCCACCCCCAACTCTAGTGTGGGGTTGGTGGCAGCAACCCTCAGGGAGTCTATTGTTGCAGGAAAGGGAACTCCAGGCGGGGAGAAAGGAGCCAGACTCATGTGGACACCCAGGCACGCCATTAATCATTAACCCGACTTGGAGGAGTAAATCTATAGAGCGATCCAGGCCAGCACGGCACTCTCCAGCCTTCTATCAATGCCTCTTTCATGTCTTAAAAGAAAGGAAAACAATCTATGGTCACTTTCCAGCTGTGTTTACTTCAAAGCAATCTGTCCCCCCTAGCAAAACGGCCCACACCCGACACCAACATTTAACACTGTGTGAAAAAAAATAATGAACGGGAGCAACACGATTAATAAGGCCAAGTGGCCCCTGTGCTAAGCGCTCTTCCCCTCGATATTCCGAAGCAAAAATGAAAACCCCAGCAGAAAAATAGGCGCTGGGTTATGCCATGGACTAGCGACAGGCCTCTCAGAGGGAGAGAATTCGGATCACTCAACAGATCTCCCCCAGCTTCACCTCTTCTCTTGCAATCTGCAAGGCCCCAGGCAGCCCCGGGAATTGCATCAGCCCCTGTCACAGCCTGTTTTCTCTGGAAACACCTAGACCCACCACACACATATATTTGCAAAATTCACGTAAGCCAAAGCTGGGTCTTTATGACCCCGGCCCCAAGCAAAATGGCACCGGAACGAAAAAACAAAACACCAAACTCTGCCAAGAGTCAGAGGACATTTACCAGGCCACAGAAATGTTCACCAGCTTTGCAGGGGATGCGAGAGGGGACGCGGAGCTCTTGACGCGCCCGCTTGGAGAGGCTGAGCACAAAGGGTTTCTGTCATGTCGCTCATTATATAAAACAGAAGACCCAGTGCCAACACAAACAGCCCCAGAGTCCCGCAGGGTCAACAGGAGGTGTCACATTGTGTTGTGCCGAAGCCTAAATATTTGTCAGCTTGGCCAGCGCTGTGGGGCACCATCGGGACGCTTTCTGCTTATTGACACGGCCATGCAAAAGGATGGCGCTTCTTCCAGTGCCACATTTACTTTAATAGTCTTTTTCCCGGGGCCTCCTGGTACAAGGGGTTAAGTTCCAGAACTGTCAAGCTATTGACAGCCACTGTGGCTTGAGCTCCAGCCCCGACCCACGGCCAGGGAGTGATCCACGGGCGCAGCCAACCTCTCCTGTGTCCCCGCTGCTCCCCTCAGCAGTGGATTTCAGTACATCTGCCTGTTCTGCTCCCCACTCCGTCTCCGGGGAATCCTCTCACCGCTCCCCCAACTCTGGCCTACACTCCAGACATTGTATGCAAACTCCTTTAGAAGTAGCTGCTCTGGAGGGATTCTGTGTGTAGGTGCTGCCAGGTGACTGCATCTGAGCAACGCTCAGATCAGTTTGTGGCTGTGAGCTCACAAGGCTTTCTCTCCAGACCATCCCAAAGACAGCTGTTTCTCTCAGGTGTGTCTGTTGTCAGAACCGGTCATCCGGGCCCGCCTTGGTGGCCCAATGAGTCAAAGCACAGCACTATGCAGCTGTCCACAGCCACTGCAGCACGAGTTCTATCCCGCACCAGGGAGCTGACCCACAGGGCACAACAGACTTCTCCTGTCTCCCTGCTGCTCCCCTCAGTAGTGGATTTCAGTGGCTCGACCTGTTTT